TTCCCTCCTGTTTTTCATTAAAAGTATTAATCACATTCAACTTAAAGATGGAACACAATGAAATTAATACAAACACAGTATTACATTGAAATCCAAGTTGTGTCGACTCAACTTAGAGACCCCTCTTGACCTGTGTCTTATAAAAATCACATTGGTTACAGAAACACACACAGAAAAGATCTCAACATTTTTTTAGAGATCATTTCATATGTATATAATTACTCCCCTATAAACCTTACTCTCCCCCCTGTTTGAGACATAAAAAATGGCTCAATAACTAAACATAATTCCTACTTATTCGTGTGTATGATATGAAAAAGACGTAGTAGTACGTAGACGTAGTAGTTAGAATGTAGTATCACCATTTTTAAACTAAACTTTCATTTGAAATGTATTAACCTGAAATGTATTTACTTGAAATGTGTCAACTTTGGTTATCAAATTAAACACCACGCACACTCCCAAAGCCCAGAAACCCAAAAGTCCATTTTCACAGTCCACAGCTCCACGTCCATACCCGACACTCCTCTCTCGGGCCCTCCTCTTCTATGGTAATGACCAGAAATGTCCACTCCGCTCCGGTTTCGAAACTCTTCTCTGTCTGCGTGTCAGACGCCGGACCAGCAAAAGCAGCAACACCAACAGACACACAAGCTGGACTTCCAGTCGCAAATGTACCAAGATGTCACCTTCAGCATATCACGCTCATTTCAACTCGAAACAAACAGGCAGCACCTTCTCTTGGCCTGCGCTTTTGATCTCCATAGCAAATTGGCCCATGATTTGTCGTCAGCAACTTCTGGTGGGGGGGTGTGTGGAGGGTCTCGTGTCGATGGTGTTGTATGGAACAGCGATGCCGTGAGGGTGGTGCTCTCCCCACACAATGGAACATGGATGGACCTTGCTGTTTCAAAACTCTGGCAGTGGTGATGCATTTTTCTCAAACAAAAAGCACATTTTTTAACATTCCAGAATCAAAACATAAGATGAAGTGTATTTCTAAACCAAGAATTTTTTTTTTTAAGTTTTGGAGTGACTTTTAAAACAAGAGTTTACCCAGAAATTTAAAATCTCACCGAAGATTTAGATTTTATTTTCTAATTAGTAAGTTTGTTTTGTCAGTTAAGTTTGAGCTTATCGGACAAACACTTAAAGACGTAAAAAAACAATCAAAAACTTTACTTTATGAGGTCCTTTTACAATATCTAATTCAAATTTTTTAGTGTTTAAAGGTCTTTAAACATCCAATTTCAATTGAGCTTATTTAGATAAATTTTGTCATCTTATCATGCTGGTCACCACAAAGTTCTGACAAAAAGTCATTGATCAGCTGAAAACTATCACCACTCTGAAAACGTTCCAATTTCCTCGAAATGAGCACTTTTCCAACGTGCGTGACATCCTCACTGCCCCAATGCCTTTTGAGAAGCTAAATTGGATTACCTGCCTTCAAAGACGATTTAAATTTAGTTTCTTTTTAGAAAGATTTAGTTTTACCTTGTCCATGTGGATGTCAAGAAACTGTAGTTGTGCCGTCAACTTCAATCCGGAGACTGGCCATGCCTCAAAGATGGAGTCCTCAAAGCAGTTCTGAATGAAGAAGGCCTCACCGCTGCTCCAAACTCCATGTTTGAGGAATCCTCAGCTCCGCAGAGAAACATGTTGGGATCCGGCTCGAAGGACCTAAATATGTGGAAAAACTACTCACATTTGAACAACATAATCTCTTTAATACATGTTGTCATCCGCTGGTTCAAAACTACAGGTTATCTGGACATCAGCACACACGGACAAGTTACAGACTGCATCAGTCTGGGTCTGCTAGATGTAGCAGCAGAGTGACAAAGGAATGGGCAAAAGAGCTCTGGTCTTACACCAGACTAACCAAAACCAGATGACTTTGGCTTCCTGCTTATTTAGACTAGTCTTTCACTCATGACTAGGGGATGGGAGAATGCTGCCATCCCATCACACACGTAGGTTAACCCAAAGCTGTCTAAACTTTGAATAAATTCATTCACTTTAATGAAAATCCAACAACTCTACTATCAGAATTATAGACCTGCACCAGACTAGCCTGGTTGTACCGCACCATAGTACAAATTACATTTCATACTAAGGTCTGGAGGTGCTCCATTGAGTTCCGTTTACAGGTGGGAGGGGTTAACTCCTTTTGCTGATTGAAACAATTGGATCTGAGCTTACCGTGACATATGTAATGCCCCCGAGTGTGTTGTTAGCATTTAGCATTTAGCCTAGCCATCTCCTTTGCTGCTAACGGAGCCCGTGGGGAGTAGCGCCACAATCTTGACCAGCGATTACATTTGCTAAACATTCCTCTAGCTCCTGCTTCAATTTCTTGATAGAACCAGACCGGATTACTTTACTATCGCATTCTTCGCCATTGCCAAACTACAACCTGCCCGTTCGGCGCAAACTCTTGACGTCACCGGCACCGACCTACAACACCCGCCTTCCGCGCTCTCTGAGTAGCCGGTCGAAATACGACCGATTGTATTCGCTAACACAGGGACCAGACCCAGACGGTTACATGCAGTGAAATGATGATTGAGCGGAGTGTACGGATGGCTAAGGCCAGGCTAGCACCAGACTGGAAAGAGTGAATCTACAATAGGCAAGCAGCTTGGTGTGAACAAATCAACTGTGGGAGCAATTATCAGAAAATGGAAGACATACAAGACCACAGATAAGCTCCCTCGATCGCAAGATCTCATCCCGTGGGGTCAAAATGATTGTAGCGTCCAGTTGAGTTTAAAGTTGAAGCCAGAACTGCTGGTTAAAATGAAGTTTATTTTGTCCTTCCATATATTCATATAACCAACGTAAGAGCTAGAACAGAAATGAAAATCAACTTACAATCATGTCCAAATACTATCTAGCATCCAATACATTGTTAACCGTTACATTACTTTTGCTATTTAATTTTACACATTTAAAGAAACTTTACAATTGTTACATAAATAAAATCAATCCGTACCTTGTTCCCTCTATCTCAACTGTAGCTAAACTTTGTCTGTGTCTTTTATGCCATATTAGTGCAGTTTCTTATGACCGTTTGTCTAGACCAGCTGTGTGAAACGTCCATAGACTTTGTAACGTTTCTCCGTCTGATGTTGCGCGAGCCGCTCGACTTCCGGTTGAGACAGGAACCGTCAAAATAAAACATTTTCTATCAACAATAAAACATCAACCTTTACACTCCCACCAATTATTTGTAAAACAAAATATAACAAATCATTTTTAACATTCCTTAGGCATGGCAATTACTTAACAATACATAACAAAAACGATGCTTTTAACAACCTTCTAAAAGCAGAACTAGTTTCTGGATTGGGCGCTCCACTATTGAAACTTTATTCAATCTTTCAACCTTTTTGTTGAGATTTCTGTCTGCATATGCTATTTTAACTTTTCTCACAAGTCCATCTTTATCTGTGACAGTGTCCAAGACTCTACCAAGTTTCCATTGTGGTCGCGGCTGGGTTTCATCTTTGTCCATCACTATGTCGCCTGTTTGCATGTTTTTTTTGGGTGTGTGCCATCGTTGTCGGACTATAATGTTGTGAAGATACTCCTTCTTCCATCGACTCCAGAATTGTTCCGCTAGATATTGTACTTGTCGCCATTGTTTTTGTGCATAGATATCCTCTTTAACGAACTGTCCTGGAGGAGGCAATGCTGCATTGGTTTTCATTGTGACAAGATGGTTTGGAGTAAGTGGTTCCAAACTGTTCGGATCGTTGAGATTGTCTGTTGTTAGGGGGCGGCTGTTCACTATTGCAGCTGCTTCGTACAGAAATGTTCTGTGTGACGAATCTGTGAGTCTTCCTTTTGCGAGAGTGAGCGTGGCATCGAGAACATTTCTCACAGTCCTTATTTGGCGTTCCCATACTCCACCTGCGTGACTTGCATGAGGGGTATTAAGAACAAAATCACATTGTTTTTCGGAAAGAAACATTGTCAGTTTGTTAGTGTCCATCTCGCTTAAAGCTGCATTCAGTTCATTTTTGGCACCTACAAAGTTAGTACCTACAATTTTATTAGTCTGACAGAGCCTCTCAAAGCAATGAAGCGTCTCATTCCATTAATAAAAGTGTCTGTAGACAGGTCTTCAAGCATTTCCACATGTACTGCCCGTGAATAGAGACATGCGAAAAGAAGATCGTACCTTTTGTTCTCTTTTCTTGCTTGTTTTGTTATGAATGGGCCGAAAATATCCATACCACAGTATGTGAAGGGTGGAGAATGTTCGACTCTTTCTGTGGGGAGATCACTCATTTTTTGTTCTTCCACCGGCCTCCGTAGTCTCCTACAAAACACACACTGACGATGATGTTACTGCTTGATTTAGTTTAGGGATCCAATAGCCACTGGACCATATTTTATTCATTGTGAAGCCTTTTCCTTGGTGAAGGACCTTCTCATGACAGTGAGCAATTATCAATTTTGTGATGTGATGCTCTCTTGCAATGACAGTTGGATGTTGTAACGAGTTTGGCTGTGATGAGTGTTGCAGCCTTCCTCCCACCTTGAGCACTTTGTCTTTATCCAAGAAGAGATCCAAATTGTGCATTTTGTTGTTTTCTGATAATGCTTTAACTTTTCTTAACAGTGTTATCTCATTTGCATATGCTTGTCTATGTAGATCTTTGATTATCAAAATTTCTGCGTTTTGTCTTTCAGTTGCAGTTGTGAATGACTTTCATTTCATTTCATTTCATTTTATTTATTAGGCAGGAAAGATTTAAAACAAAATCGGGCCTGGCTCAGTACAAACTGATTTTCAGTAGGTTCCTGTTCTGCAGAACACACAAACACAGCATTAACATCACCACTCGACACAAAACATACTGTCACACATAAAAGAAGGAACACACTGGTGTGAGGCTATAGTGTCCGTCACTAGTGGTCACAACGATAGCTGTCCGTCAGATGTTTCAGAATAGTCTTTTTAAAAGGTCCAGGTGACTGTATGGTTCTTATGGTGAGGGGGATCTTGTTCCAGGCCCTGGTGAGCTCACAGAAGAAGGAATTTTGTCCGTAGGTGTTCCTGTGGTGAGGTATGGGTAAGATTTGGTTTGTGGTGGATCTGGTTGAACGCTCTTTGATTTGTCTTTGAGTACGCTCTTTGATTTGTCTTTGAGTACGTAACGTTTGAGGTGTGCTACTGCGCTGACTGCACGGGACCAGGAGGAGAACTTGTTGAGACGGTCACTGAGACTTTTGCGGTCTGTTGTTTGCGTGTTCAACGTCTGCACTTTTCTCACCTCTGGGTCTCCTATTGGAAGTTCTGTTCCATCTGGAAGTTGTCTGTTATCTGGCATTTGTGGCCTGTCCTTCAGTGGAAGTGGCATTTCAAAATGTCCATGCTTAGTTCGTGTTATGCCTTGTTCAAGTTTCTCAAGAATCATGAGATCCACTTGTGACACGGTCTTTTCATTGCTTTGAATGTCTTTGAAGTCCTTTTCTAAAATACGCAGTGCATCTGTCGGAGTAGATGGGGGTATTTCCTTTACAGTAACTCTGTGACAGAGACTACTTGTTTTGTACGATTCATTGCAAGGCACAGAATTGCCAACTACGCTCCATCCTAAATCAGTGTGAATAGCATACGGCTCATTGTCCTTGCCTAGTAGTACTTGTTTGGGCGCTAAAGTTCTGGGACAAGTATAACCAACTAGAAATGGTACAATGGCTGAAGCCATTGTGAGTGGCTACATAGATGTTGGAAGGGTTAGGGATGAAGAAGGAAGAGGAAGGAAGAACTTGAAAGAAATGAAAGAAGAAGGAAGAAGGAAGAGGAAGGGGAAGAAGGAGGAAGAAGAGGAAGAAGAGGAGGAAGAGGAAGAAAGGAAGAAGAGGAAGAAGAGGAAGAAGGGGAAGAAGAGGAAGCGTTCATCATTCCCATTACCCTAACCTCCAAGTCTGAAAAAGAAGGACCTAGGTAAGTCGGAACTTCAGAGTTTCCGAGATGAGACAGAAGCTTCTTTTAGACGGAGGGAGCAAAGTTACATTTTTTGCCAGAAGTTCTATATCGTGGATGCAAAAACAACTTTTTTATATGAGGAACATTGTAGAAGCATTTTTAAAATCTCAGAAAAGGCAATTTTATACATTGTAACATGTCTCTCATCTATTTATATGGATTATATGGTAACAAGTGCAGTGAAAAGAAACTTTTCAATATGATTCTGAAACATTGGCCTTTGTCCCTGAATAAGTTTAGTTGAAACTTAGACTGCCTCGTTCTCATTGTCAGTGTGAAAAAAGTTACGTATTGTTCACGTGTGAGTCTGTTGTGTACAAACTACACAATGTGCCTCCTGTTGTGTTAACGCTGTCTTTCGGTGCGTGTGGTTTGCGATGTTGACACTTTGCTGCTGCGTTCTTTTATATTGTAACTGTGGTCCTCCATAGTTGTTTTATATAGCTGTGGTCGTCCATGGTTCTTTTATATAACTGTGGTCAGTAGCTCATGTGAAACAAGCTACTGTCCCTTATCCAGAGAGAGGACTCCTCTCTCATGGACACTTATAAGTAACATTCTAAGCCTATGAAAACAATTATAAAAACATGGTGGAGGTAGATATTCTTAAAAAGATCACATTTGTTATTAGTTAACATTTTTTTTTCATATGGAGCAACTGTAATAATTACACAGGGTGGCTTTAAGAGCGCTCTTAAGAGCTAGGATTCTTTAGGAATAGCTTTTCTCTTAACTAGGATCTACTCTTCACTTTTAGGGGAAATTCTAAGAATACGTCGTTTTTTCTGGAACTGGTTTCATCTTGGGTCCAGAGCTGCCTCAGTAGCCAGCTACTGGTAATGATATCATCCTCCTGGTCTCTCGAGCTGGTTTTGTCTGCTTCAATAGTTGGATGTATGCGTGGCAGTAGAATCATTGATTGACCCTCTTCTCTGGTTGGAGTGACACCGCAGCAGCAGCTGCAGCTGGGAGGACACACTGGTGGAGAAGGCGGAGTAGATCCATGGGTTTGTGCACGAGTTCAGACTGGCCAAGAGCATGAGCAGAGTGAAGACTGCGCCTGTTATAGCACAAGGATAAAAGAAAAGAAAAGATTCAGGAAAAATCAGAATGAGCTTTACAAAGCTACTGTAGGGTCCAAACAGTGAAGCCATGTACTTGACGCTCTCATAATCCACATAGTGTGTAAAGTGAGTGAATAAATCCAGGGAACAGTAAAATGCAATTAAAAACTCTTTACTGAGTATTCACAAAACAAAAACACATACTGTACAAAAAGAAAAGAACTAGAGGAGAGAGTACTGTATATGGAGATAGAGATGGGAGAGAATATTGAGGTCAAAAAACTGTGTGGCTCCACTCCACACTCCACGCTTTCCCTGGCACACCTGCCCCTTAACTAGCCTGGGGCCAGGACTGAGAAATAAAAATATATATATATTAAATCAAAATAAATCAATGATTAACTTAGCAATAATGACTTACAAAACAGCTATCTAAATTTGATGCAAAATTAACTCAAATGCCAATTAATCATAAATCTAATCTAATAAAAAAATAATGTATTTCAATCAAATAATAATACAAACAAATAGAAATGTATGAAAATAAAATCAAAACAACTAAACCTCTAATTAGGCTCCTACAGCTACATTAAGACAGTGTTTTCATAATAAGAGTGTCCTAGTATATTTTTGTGAATAACCAGAAGAAGTCATGCTGAATGCAAATGATTCTATTTTTGTGCTAGTGCGCCGATGCAAACCATTCTGTGGAGGGTTGGGGTCCCATGCGGCCCACAGTTGTACGATGAAGAAGGGTGCCCAGCAGAGTGAGTAGACCACCACAATCACCAGAGTCATGCGCACAGTTTTAGACATGGCAGCAGTCACTTCCCCAGAGCGGGAAGGGCCTTTATGCTGTGGCAGGTTGAGGTCTGTGGGAGGCCCTGTGCACAAGGTTGAATTATGTAAACAAAACCTAATGACTTAAATAAGTTATTAGTACTTACTTAAGTAATAAGTACTGTTAAGTACGGAACGACATGGCCGTACGATCGAGGAAGGAGTACGCTTTTATCCAGAAGTCAATATAACCTCATTCTCAATGTGCAAGCGGCCAGGAATTTCTATAAAAGAAGCACCCATTCATCCCCACACTGAGCAGACACTTGCTTGCGTGTCAGAACGGCTATTCAACCCACCTCCCAATATTGTCATTATACTGATTTTTGCTGTGTACACAACCATTTGCATTAAGTAAAAACTATCATTCATGATTTCTTAAATATGGCAAAAACATGTGTGTGTGTGTGTGTGTGTGTGTGTGTGTGAGTGTGTGTGAAAACTTTCAATAACAACTGTATGTATGGTATGTGTTAATAATATACACTCCCAATAAAGCATAATACATGTCCTTTAATCTCTTCCACAGCTTGTACCATGTCGTGTTGTTAAGCAGGGTGTGCTGAAGCTGAGGCTGCGTGGATCCCTGGGTTGAATCACTGCAAATGGGCTACAGAGGCTCTGGCAGCTCCTTCCTCTGGCCTCCACCACCTCTTTTCTCTGTTGGCTTTCCCGCCTTGCTGCAGTTACACACGCAGACTGTGGGAGGCGCCCTGACTTCATGTATAGACTGCTGTTGTGAATCTCTCTGAATATTCCGATCTGAAAACACAACAAGCAAAACATACCAGCCATATAAAATATAGCTTTAAACTTGAATGATCCTGAACAGTTGTTTCTTTCGTGATTTCAGGTAATGCCTAAAGCATGTACCATAGCTCCTCTCTCTCTGGGGCCAGGACACTTCCCCCAGAAAAAGAGATTCTGGGATTCTTTCCTTGTTTAATAATGGTCAATAAAATAAGATCGAATGTACAGTGCCTTGCGAAAGTATGCGCCCCCCTTGAACCTTTCAACATTTCGCCACATTTCAGGCTTCAAACATAAATGTATAACATTTTAATTTTTTGTCATGAATCAACAACAAGTGGGACACAATCGTGAAGTGGAACAAAATTTATTGGATAATTTAAACTTTTTTAACAAATAAAAAACTGAAAAGTGGGGCGTGCAATATTATTCGGCCCCTTTACTTTCAGTGCAGCAAACTCACTCCAGAAGTTCAGTGAGGATCTTTGAATGATCCAATGTTGTCCTAAATGACTGATGATGATAAATAGAATGCACCTGTGTGTAATCAAGTCTCCGTATAAATGCCCTGCTCTTTGATAGTCTCAGGGTTCTGTTTAAAGCGCAGAGAGAACCATGAAGACAAAGGAACACACCAGCCAGGTCCGAGATATGAAGCTCTTCGCGAAAGTTCACTGTGGTAGACCCGGCCACTGCTGCCAGATCTACAAGCCTGATCATCCTCTACTCATTACACCAGCAAAACGCCCACATCTAATCCACCAATAACCACCAGGACAGCAAGTTAAAAGCCGGAGACGCCCACTTCCCGGCCTTCTGAAGTTTGCAAACTTCTGAAGCCTGCAAGGTGCATGTCGCTAACGCACCTGTTCGCAAATGCATGCGTTGTTCTGGAGGGGTCGCTTCTGCTCACGTGTTGCTCGTGCGCGTGGCCCTGCTGTCCTCAGTCTGGCTGCTCGTGGTCTGCTCCTCCTCCGCGTCCCTGCACCTGCTGTGGTTCGCGTGTCTCCACTGCTTTCCTCCTCTGTGGGCTGATCCGCGGGGCCCCTCCGCGGGGCCCCTCTGCAGGTTCTGTGCTGCTCGTTCCTCGTGGTCTGCTGCCGCGCGCAGACGGTCTGGCGGTGCCGTGCATGTCCCTGCCTCCGATTGGCGGTGCCGCGTTGTCCCGTTGCTTTCCCAAGTCTCCTGGCATGTGAGTACAGTGAGTGTGCCGACCGCGGACAGATTAATCCCGGAGTCTAGGCTGCAGGCGGCTGGTTTTTGCCCTACGCACTTGACTGCAGGCATAATATGCATTGCCCCTAACTGAGGGGCAATGCATATTAAATAGCATCAATCTCTATTGTCTGAGGGATATAAGAGGAGCAATGTGCATAATTCAGATTCATGTTCTGCCACTTGCAGTAAAACCACGTTGGAAATATGTGCAAAGACTACCCCATTGTGCTCCAGACGGCACACACCAGAACTCTTGCCACGGCGCCATCTTTACAGCATTAATCTCATTACTCGCAGGTCACTATTGTTAAATGGATGTATTTAAATTCGTCTATCTGCAGGAGGAAGGAGGGGCCATGCATTTAAATAGCTAGGTCACTAGTATTAAATTGGGTAACTAAACTGCAGTTGTTGCATTTTGAAAGTGCAGCAGAAAGAAAAAGGGCCCAATGTGAATCTGCAATGGGTTTGAAGTGGAGTTGGAGCTAATGAACGCGTGGAAAAGTGATCGTTCATGCGTATCTGCCATAACCAAAGCAGCAAGATGGCTCCAGGGGACATCTGTTATTCGCATGGGAATGTTTCGGATTCGGGTTGATTTATTTCCTCAGGCTCTTAAACAACCATGGGCATGGTTCTCTGACCGCCGCTGCTGCGGTCCCTGCTGCCGTTCCTACTGATGCCTGATCCCGCTGCTGCCTGTTCCCGCTGCTGCCTGTTCCTGCTGCCGCTCCTGCTGCTGCCTGTCCCTGCTGCCTGCTCCTGCTGCTCCTACTACTACATGTGCCGCTGCTGCTGTTCCTGCCGCTGCCGCTCCGCAGGCTCCCAGGCTGCACCTGTCTCTACGGCTCGGCTCTTTCAGACACGTATGTAACCTGGCTCACGGAGACAAGCGGCGCACGCTGGCGTGACACGTCTGTTGTTCGTATGAATCGCATTGTGGTGCTACTGCTCCTGCTAATGCTGCTTCTGCTGCTTCATACGGCTACCGCTACTGCTGCTACTGCTGCCGCTAATGCTGCTATTGCTGCCACTGCTGCTTCATACTGCTACTGCTGCCGTGCTGCTGCTGCTTCTTTTACTTTGACACCTCTCTTCACTTCGCATCTCTTTTACTGAAACACTAAACCGCTTCAACAATATTCTACTGCTTGGCTTTGATACAGGATTATTGCTGTTATTATCTACGGATGCTGCAACCGCTGTTGCTGCTGCTGCTGCTTCATACTGCTGCTACTGCTGCTGCTTCATACTGCTACTGCTGCTCCTGCTAATGCTGCTTCTGCTGCTTCATGCTGCTACCGTTACTGCTGCTACTGCTGCCGCTTCATACGGCATCTGCTGCCGTGCTGCTGCTGCTTCATGTACTTTGACACCTCTCTTCACTTCGCATCTCTTTTACTGAAACACTAAACCGCTTCAACAATATTCTACTGCTTGGCTTTGATACAGGATTATTGCTGTTATTATCTACGGATGCTGCAACCGCTGCTGCTGCTGCTGCTGCTTCATACTGCTGCTACTGCTGCTGCTTCATACTGCTACTGCTGCTCCTGCTAATGCTGCTTCTGCTGCTTCATGCTGCTACCGTTACTGCTGCTACTGCTGCCGCTGCTGCTTCATACTGCATCTGCTGCCGTGCTGCTGCTGCTTCATGTACTTTGACATCTCTCTTCACTTCGCATCTCTTTTACTGAAACACTAAACAGCTACAACAATATTCTACTGCTCTGGCTTTGATACAGGATTATTGCTGTTATTATCTACGGATGCTGCATCTGCTGCTGCTGCTACTGCTGCTGCTGCTTCATACTGCTACTGCTGCTGCTTCATACTGCTACTGCTGCTGCTTCATACGGCTACTGCTGCTACTACTGCTGCTGCTGCTTCATTTACTTTGCCATCTCTCTTCACTTGCATCTCTTTTACTGAAACACTGAACAGCTACAACAACATTCTACTGCTGTGGCTTAGATACAGAATTATTACTGTTATTTCTAAGGACGCTGCTGCTGCTGCTGCTGCTGCTACTGCTGCTGCCACGGCTTGATACAGGACTATTGCTGTTATTATCTGAGGTTACTGCTGCTGCTGCTACTGCTACTGCTGCAACCCACTGTCTCAGAAGCTTATCCTGCTTCTAATGGATGCAGCCCGGCTGAGTATGCCGCGCTGCGCTGGACTCGCACCTATACTCCCAGGGTCGCTTCGGCGGTCATGCTTCATCTCTCTACCTAATCTTCTGATCTATCAGATGCAGCTGGCCAAGTAGCTGCGCTGAGCTGTCAATCGGACTCCTAATCAAAGGCATCCATACCTGTATTCTTCACTCTTCTGATCGCAGGCTCCCCATCACGCTGCCCATCCTGCAGCGGCGCTGAACTCCGGCTCATCTTCCAAGTACATGTCTGCCCTCCTCGCAGCATCTTCCTGCTCTCCTTCTGTGGCTTCTCTGCATAAGCGTCTCACCATTGCTCACTCAACCTTCATGCGGTCCGAGACACGGCTTTCCCGACCATCCTACTATCCTGATTATCTACTCTCCAACCCAAGATTCTAAGCGTAAGGGCGCCTGCATCATCAATGGCCCTCTCCGATATGTCTCTGCCCCTACAGGTCTCCGCTTCTACACGGACGCTGCCCCTTCCGTGGGTTTTGGGGGATTCTTCCAGGACCATTGGTTTGCCGAGCGTGGCCGCTACTTCCACCGGAGCATCTCCTCTGCCCTACACGTGATATTCCCAGTGGTCGTGGCCTGCGCGCTGTGGAATCACACGTGGCAGAGAAAGAGGATCTCTGTCATGTGTGATAATCTCGACGTAGTGGAAGCATTACACAAAGGTCGCTCTTTTTCACCCAACATAATGTCCCCTGACCATTTCAACCTCCGTCTCAAACATTCAAAAATCAAAGGAGCCTGCAATATAGTAATAGCTCGCTCGGACACATCTCTCTGCCCCTACAAATCCTTTATGCATTACACTCGCCTCCGCTGCAAAAAGGAGATCTTAACGGACCTCTATTTCTCACTCCAGACATTCTTCCCATGACAGCAACCTGGTTCAGAGCTCGACTAAGATCCCTACTGCTCCTCTGTAAATTGTCTCCCCAGCTCTACACAGCTCACTCCTTCAGGATAGGCGCCGCCACGCGCGCGGCCTCGCTGGGGCTCCCCCACACCTCTCTGCAACAGCTGGGGCGCTGGTCCTCTTCGGCTTTCTCCACCTACATCAGGCCAGACGCGTCCGCTATCCTGGCTGCACAACGGCTACTGGCTTCCTCGTAAGCTCCCAGCAAAGCAATACAAAGCAAAGTAAGTGAACCAATAAGATTCTGGTGGCGGCACGCACTTCTTCAAAGATAACCCTGTTGCAGCGTCCGGTTGATCGTGATGCGAGCGCTCACGTCCCGGCGCTTAAAGATAACTCCACTGCAGCGTCTGGTACCGATCGTGATGCGAGCGCTCACGTCCCAGACAGCGTCCGGTTGATCGTGATGCGAGCGCTCACGTCCCGGCGCTTAAAGATAACTCCACTGCAGCGTCTGGTACCGATCGTGATGCTAGCGCGCTCACGTCCCAGACAGCGTCCGGTTGATCGTGATGCGAGCGCTCACGTCCCGGCGCTCAAAGATAACTCTGCTACAGCGTCTGGTATCGATCGTGATGCGAGCGCTCACGTCCCAGGCAGCGTCCGGTTGATCGTGATGCGAGCGCTCACGTCCCGGCGCTTAAAGATACTCCACCGCAGCGTCTGGTACCGATCGTGATGCGAGCGCTCACGTCCCAGACAGCGTCCGGTTGATCGTGATGCGAGCGCTCACGTCCCGGCGCTCAAAGATAACTCTGCTACAGCGTCTGGTATCGATCGTGATGCGAGCGCTCACGTCCCAGGCAGCGTCCGGTTGATCGTGATGCGAGCGCTCACGTCCCGGCGCTTAAAGACAACTCTGCTACAGCGTCTGGTATCGATCGTGATGCGAGCGCTCACGTCCCAGGCAGCGTCCGGTTGATCGTGAAGCGAGCGCTCACGTCCCGGCGCGCAAAGATAACTCTGCCCGTTTTTGGGGATTATGCGCGCGAGCAAGCGCCGCACTCATCAGCATCTCTCCCGGGCCTAGGGCGCCAAACATACTCAATCAACAAACTTCTAACTGCATTTTCCCTCTTGGGTCTCTCCAAAGTGAAATGAAGCTCTTCGCGAAAGTTCACTGTGGTAGACCCGGCCACTGCTGCCAGATCTACAAGCCTGATCATCCTCTACTCATTACACCAGCAAAACGCCCACATCTAATCCACCAATAACCACCAGGACAGCAAGTTAAAAGCCGGAGACGCCCACTTCCCGGCCTTCTGAAGTTTGCAAAGCCTCCGCCGCCCCACCTCCTCCTTCTCTCATTGAAGCGTGCTTGCCTACTGCCTCTGCCGTCACCATTATGCGCGCGAGCAAGCGCCGCACTCATCAGCATCTCTCCCGGGCCTAGGGCGCCAAACATACTCAATCAACAAACTTCTAACTGCATTTTCCCTCTTGGGTCTCTCCAAAGTGAAATTGTTGTGGAGAGGTTTAAAGCCGGATTTGGATACAAAAAGATTTCACAAGCTTTAAACATCTCAAGGAGCACTGTGCAAGCAATTATATTGAAATAGAGTATCAGACCACTGCAAATCTACCAAGACCCGGCCGTCCCTCCAAACTTTCATCTCAAACAAGGAGAAGACTGATCAGAGATGTAGCCAAGAGGCCCATGATCACTCTGGATGAACTGCAGATAACTACAGCTGAGGTGGGAGAGTCTGTCCATAGGACAACAATCAGTCGTGCACTGCACAAATCTGGAAGAGTGGCAAGAAGAAAGCCATTTCTCAAAGATATCCATAAAAAGTCTTGTTTAAAGTTTGCCACAAGCCACCTGGGAGACACACCAAACATGTGGAAGAAGGTGCTCTGGTCAGATGAAACCAAAATCAAACTTTTTGGCCACAATGCAAAACGATATGTTTGGCGAAAAAGCAACACAGCTCATCACCCTGAACACACCATCCCCACTGTCAAACATGGTGGTGGCAGCATCATGGTTTGGGCCTGCTTTTCTTCAGCAGGGACAGGGAAGATGGCTAAAATTGATGGGAAGATGGATGGAGCCAAATACAGGACCATTCTGGAAGAAAACTTGTTGGAGTCTGCAAAAGACCTGTGACTGGGACAATGATCCAAAACATAAAGCCAACTCTACAATGGAATGGTTCACAAATAGACATATCCAGGTGTTAGAATGGCCAAGTCATTCGACAGATAAGATTAGAAGAAGTTGGGAGCAGGAAATGGGTATTACATTTTCAGAACAACAATGGGAGAAAGCAATATCTATTGTCCGCTCAAGTACACCTTCCATAAGACTGCAGCTCATTCAGTTTAAAGTATTATATAGGGTTCACTATTCTATATCATATCTATCAAAGATTTTTCCTCAGGTCATAGATCAATGTGAGAGATGCCAGACAAGCCCTTGCAATTTGAGCCACATGTTATTTTTATGCCCAAAACTACATAACTTCTGGAAGCAGTATGGGGATATACTTTCTAAGGCCCTTAAAATCAGAGTGGAAGTCAATCCTTTTTTAGCCGTGTTTGGCCTTCCGATTAATTCAGTGCTGAGTGACCCTGCTCAGTCCAAAGTACTAGCCTTTACATCACTCATAGCAAGGCGCAATATTTTGCTACTCTGGAAATCTGCTAATACTCCTTTAATTTCCCAATGGTTTCGTGATATGTTAGGATTTCTTAAATTGGAAAAGATAAATATGGCAACCAAATGTAATGAAGAAAAGTTTGAACAAAAGTGGGGTTCCTTTATTGATTATTGTAAATCATTAAGAACTCTGCCTCCGGGTTGACTGCCCCCCCCCCCCCCTCTTTCCTTGGCATTATTATTATTTTTATTTGATTAATATTATTATTATTATTATTTTTTTCATTTTTGGAAATGATTGAATGTTTGCTTATCTCGCTATCCTATGTGCATGTGTACGTATATTTTCTAGAAGTGTTTACGATTGTGTGTGCACATGTATATATGCAAATGTGTATACATCTCATTCTGTTGTGCAGGGGTTCTGGGGGGAAAAAGAAAAAAGAAAAGAGCAAACATGTAATCTGTAAAATTGTATGATAAAAATGTCACTCTTCAATAAACAAATAATAAAAATAAAAAAAAGAATGGCCAAGTCAAAGTCCAGACCTGAATCCAATCGAGAATCTGTGGAAAGAGTGCTGTTCACAAACGCTCTCCATCCAACCTCACTGAGCAAAACTGATTGAGACATACCCCAAGCGACTTGCAGCTGTATTTGCAGCAAAAGGTGGTGCTACAAAGTATTAGCGCAAGGGGGCCGAATAATATTGCACGCCCCACTTTTCAGTTTTTTATTTGTTAAAAAAGTTTAAATTATCCAATAAATTTAGTTCCACTTCACAATTGTGTCCCACTTGTTGTTGATTCTTGACAATTTTTTTTTTTTTTATATCTTAATGTTTGAAGCCTGAAATGTGGCGAAATGTTGAAAGGTTCAAGGGGGCCGAATACTTTCGCAAGGCACTGCAGAACCAAAGCTGAATTTTAAAGCATGGGTTAGGGTTAGTGTCTTCATCTGCATAGTAACTAAAATGTACAGACAGGGGTAAAATTAAAAAGTTGTCTTATACCAACAACAAAAAACTTCAGTAAAACTATGTCCACGTCTGAAAGGTGATGTAATGTGTTACCTGACACACTGTGATGATGAGCACTGGCAGGATGAATACAGCAAGAGTCATCCACGTGACGTAGGCTTTTAGACCCCAGGACTCGGCAAAGTGTCCCCAGCACTCATACTCCCCCGGGGCCACCTCTGAGCGTGAGAAGATGAACACCTACAAAACCAACACACACTGCGTTCATGTGGGTGGAGTATATGGACTGCTACTGTCACATCCTGTGCCTCTGCTTCCTGCTCTACTCCTCCTCCCTTCCCTCTGTGTGAGGGCAGGGGGGGGGGCACACCTGGAGGCAATCACATCTCTTCAAGTACCCAGCTCTACAGCCTGTTGGTGCCAGATTGTTTCGTCTCATCTACTGGGGAAAGTCCTACATTTGGCTAGTTTTCTTGAGGTATTTTTCAATCCCTGTACTTGCTTGTTTTTGTTGTTTTTTGGCAGTTCCTGTGTTCCTGTTTTTTGAACTCCTTGCCTCCGGACCCTCCAGCACTCCCCCTCCTTTAATAAATTGTATTTTTATTTTTCACGCTTGAGTCGCCTTTTTGGGTCCCATATTGTGCCGTTACAGAACAATCTGGCCACATGGACCCAACAGACCAAGCTGATTCTGTCCTCCAAGCTCTGGCATCTCAAGGTATTCTGGTTGGACAACATGAACAGACTTTGCGGGAGGTCGTTCAGAATCTACATGAACTCTCAATCAACGTTGCCCAGCTGTCCAATCAAGTCCACATGCTCTCCACTCGACTCTCGGATCCCTCAGCTCCTGGCCCCAGTAATCCACCAGATGGTACCGTCTCGTCCCCAGCTCCAATTCTCCCTACACTTGCCCGTGAGCCACACATACCCACACCAGAGAGGTACACCGAGGAATTGGGTGCCTGTGGTCGCTTCCTGCTTCAGTGTTCCCTGGTGTTTGACCAACAGCGATCCACCTACAGCTCAGATAAGTCACGCATTGCTTTTATTCTGAGTTTGCTTGGGGGCAAGGCTTCTCAGTGGGCAACTGCTTTGTATTTTTAACGAAATGAGAAGAGTTTTTGACCACCCTGTTAAAGGAAAGGAGGCTTCTAAGAGACTGTTAGCGCTTAGTCAAGGTGCTTCTTCTGTAGCTGAATATGCTGAGGAATTCCATATTTTGGCTGCCGAGAGTGGCTGGGATTATGTTGCCCTACAGGGAGCATTTTTAAGGGGCTTGGCAGAAAATATTAAAGATGAGTTGGCAGTTCGTAATGAAACCAATAATCTTGAAGAGCTGATTTCTCTTGCGACTACTTTGGATAATCGACTTAGAGAGAGACGCAGAGAGAAAGCTAGCCGGCAAAATTTTTCTCGGGGTCCTGTGTCAGCTCAGCATTTCCTGCCTCATGTACCTATCTCTCCTCCTGTGCCCTCTAGCACTACTAAAGTTGCACCAGCTGAGGAGCCTATGCAATTGGGCCGGGCTCACCTTTCCTCAGATGAACGTCTTCGTCGGCAAACTGAGGGTATATGCATCTACTGCGGCCAGGCGGGGCATTACATCAGGACCTGTCCTCTGCTGCCAAAAGAGCGGGCTCATCAGTGAGTAGGGAGCTCATGGTGAGCCAAATCTCCTCTCCTCAAGCCTTCAACCAACTCCGGCTGCAAATCCAGTCCACACTCTTATGGCAATGTGAGTCCGTTCCAACTTTTTCACTTGTTGATTCAGGGGCAGATGAAAATTTCATTGACTCTAATTTGTTCAAACTATCCAACATTCCCACTGAATCTATTGGAATTCCACAGACTGTTAATGCTTTGAGTGGCAATCCTTTAGCCAAGATAACATTTCGTACCAAGCCTGTAATTCCCTTGCTATCTGGGAACCACAGAGAAGTCTTACAACTTTTGGTAATTTCGTCTCCGCAAGCACCTATTGTTTTAGGACTCTCTTGGCTTAAGAACCACAATCCCCACATTGACTGGGCTGCTAACAAGATCACTAGCTGGAGCACCTTTTGTCATTCCCATTGCCTTCACTCAGCTGTTTCCACTAATGATACTCCTTCGAGAGAACCCCTTATTCCTCCTGACCTGACTTCCGTTCCTAAGGACTATCACGATCTGGTGGAGGTTTTTATTAAACAGAAGGCGCTGTCTCTACCCCCACACAGGCCTTATGACTGTGCTATAGACTTGTTACCAGGAGCTCCATTGCCCTCCAGTCGTCTCTACAAGTTGTCCCGTCCAGAGAGAGAGACCATGGAGACATATATTAAAGACTCTTTAGCAGCAGGGTTAATTCGCCCCTCAGCTTCACCAGTGGCTGCAGGATTCTTTTTTGTGAACAAAAAGGATAAGTCCCTACGTCCTTGCATTGATTACAGAGGGCTTAATGAAATCACTGTGAAGAACAAATACCCATTCCCACTCATTGACTCAGCCTTCAAACCACTTCATCAGGCCACAGTATTCTCTAAACTGGATCTAAGAAATGCTTATCATCTGGTCCGTATAAGACAAGGGGACGAATGGAAGACTGCTTTCAACACCCCCCTGCGGGTTTTCAGAACTTGGTGAATGATGTTCTTAGGGACATGATCAATAAGTTTGTTTTTGTGTACTTGGATGACATCCTGATTTTTTTCAAAAGACCTTGAGCAACACGTTCAACATGCCCGCACTGCTTTGCAGCGTCTATTGGAGACCAGACTCTTCGTAAAGGCAGAGAAATGTCAATTCCACGTCCCCTTTGTGCATTTCCTGGGGTTTGTGATTGAACGGGGCCAGGTCAAGGCTGACCCTGAAAAAGTGAAAGCAGTCGCTGAGTGGCCCAGACCAGAGTCCCGTAAACAACTCCAAAGGTTCCTTGGTTTTGCCGACTTCTACCGCCGGTTTATTAAAGACTACAGCAGAAAGGCGGCCCCGCTTACCCAGCTCACCTCCACATCAGCCCCATTTAAATGGTCCCCGGAAGCCGAGACTGCTTTCTCACTTAAAGACCTCATGACGGGTTTGATTTATTTAGAAATACAGTTTTAATACCATTTTATATTAGAAGAGAACTACTAAAGGTTTCAAAATCAGTTGTTTTTTTTTGTCTGATTCCCCCAAATCGAAATAACCCCATAGCAACGCCCTTAGAAACGAAAAAACTTCACAGCCCTTGGTGACGTCAGAACGGGTACGTTTCAACGCTGTAAGTTGTTTACAATTTGGTATTCGTTCTTTTTTCGCGGATATTCAAGATGACAAGGCCGTGTACAGCGAGATTGTAACATTTCATTGTCACTGAGATAGTCCAGTGGTTGTGTCGATGGGCTGGCAATCCAGATACTTGGGTTCAAATCCCACCTCGGACACTTTTTCTCAAAACGGCAATTTATGTGTAGTGAGCAATTGTCACCTGTAGAGTGCAGTATTGTGTTGGGCATCAGTGGAGAGAAGAGAGAAAAGGCAGTCCTGTGGCATAGATCCATGGTTTTCAATGCATGGGCGTAACCCGCTATGACGTCACACACAGGTTAGAGCATAGACAACTTAAATTCATGAAAAACACGTTCTTTTTATAAAATATAGGATTTTTTTTGCCGGAATCTCTTTCAAATTGACATTGTCATGCAATTTTGATATCCACTATTTTTTTTTTTTAAAACCCGTCATAAGGTCTTTAAGACTCTGTTTATTTCAGCTCCAGTGCTCTCCCACCCTGATCCCACCAGACAATTTATTGTCGAAGTCGACGCTTCTGACTCTGGCGTTGGAGCTGTCCTGTCTCAGCGTTCCGTGGAGGATGGAATGCTTCATCCCTGTGCCTTCTACTCTCGGCGGCTCTCCCCGGCTGAGAGGAATTACGATATTGGTAACCGGGAGCTTCTGGCTGTGGTCCTTGCCCTACAGGAGTGGCGGCATTGGCTCGAGGGAGCTGAGCACACCTTCATAGTTTGGACGGATCACAAAAACCTTTCTTACCTGCGCTCTGCCAAGAGGCTAAACTCTCGACAAGCTAGATGGGCTTTATTCCTTGGAAGGTTTAATTTTGTGCTCACGTACCGCCCTGGTTCACGTAATTTAAAGCCAGATGCTTTGTCTCGCCAGTCAGTCAGTGAAGAACGTGACTCCCAGCCGGTCCCCATTCTTTCTCCTGCCCTGATTAGAGATACTCCAGAAACTACCTCGTCCTACATGGTGGGAGCTGTGCTCTGAGAGATTGAGAAGACGGTAAGATCCACGCTCTTTTGTTTCATCATGTACTGTTTGTGCCCGCAGCAAGTCCATCCATCAACACCCGGCTGGTCTCCTTCACCCCCTTCCTATTCCCAGTCGACCATGGTCACACATTTCTGTGGACTTCGTCACTGGTTTGCCACGCTCCGATGGTAATACATGCATACTTACCATTGTGGATAGGTTCTCTAAAAGTGAACCTATGAACAGGGTGAAACGCTGCAGTCTTAGTGCCAAATAAATATTTGTTTCTTATCTGTAGTATAAGTGAGAAACAAATAGCAAGAGAGCAATGGCTCCGAAGAAATCAGCAGCGGAGGCCAAGATGGATAATGATCTGGAGGATATCCGTGAGTCTCTAAACTTTATGTCTGGGGAGCTCACGAAAGTGACGCAACAGCTGACCAAGCTGGCGGAACTTTTCGAAGAAGTGAAACAACTTAAAAACATCGTAAGAGAAAGAGACAAAACCATCGAAGAGCTTGAGAACAGGATCGACAACCTCGAGCAGTACACCAGGATGGAAGATGTAATTATTACAGGCCTTACCATCAAGCCTCGCTCTTATGCGAGAGTAGCTACGGAAGGCAGCAGTACTACTGAGGATGCCAACGCCGAGGATTTGCAAACGCTGGAAGCGCAAGTTGTGAACTTTCTGGCACAAAAGGATATTTATCTGAATCCGAACACCATCTCGGCGTGCCACACTTTGCCACGGAAGGACAAGACCAATCCAGCTATCATCATGCGCTTTGGAAACCGCAAAGATAAAACCGAGCTCATGCGACAAGGGAAGAAGCTAAAAGGAACATCTGTGTATCTGAATGATCATCTTACCAAGAAAACGGCTGGAATTGCCAGGGAAGCACGTATCCTGAGAAAAAACGGGAAAATCAAAGCTACATGGACCAGGAATTGTAAGGTATTTATCCAGCTCAATGGCCACACTCCGGAACAAGCTAAAGTCA